TCGGGACGGACCTGCGGACTACTGTTTTTTTTGCCCATTCAAAATGTGGGTTGTGACCCACGAGCTGTTGCCCCTTAAATTAATTTTTTATTTTCTTCTTCTTCTTCATTTTCTCTTCATGCTTAAGGGCAAGAAGTCTCATACCTCCTGGATATCTGGGATTCAATTTGTTTCATGAACTGTCACAAACATGGCCAATTGTATCCTTTTCGGCTACCCCACTCTTTACATCCTCTTCCAGAGGCTTACATTAAGTTGTGGTATGACCCCCCTCACCGCAATAGTTGCAGACGAAGTTTTTCCTTGGACAATCATCATACTTTTTTCTCTCTCTGTTCTCTCTTCCATCATTCCCTCCATTCTTTCTAGATCGGGAGGAGTCTCATTTTTTCTCATGGTCATCGTCATCATCATCATCTTTGTCGTCCTCACTTTCTAACTCCTTCTTCCCTTTCTCATCCACAACATGATTAGCAAGTATATAATTGGTCATAATCCGTTGGACAATATTTTCTGTGCTCTGATTATTTCCTCTGTTCAAACAATTCTTTGTCTCTCAATCTTTAGCCAACGTACCGATCTGATCCAGTGATCACTTCTTGTGGGAGACAATAGGTAGACTTCTGCCTATTGCAACCATTTCATCTCATCTGAGAGGGAAGTGTTGAGCCTAAATGAGAACAGTCTATCTGTTTTTGTGGGTGAAGTTAATCAAATAAATATGACATCTTTGAGTTTAATCCAAATATGAAAGTTTTTTAGTTGTCCGGATAAACGTCTGAAGGAAAACATTAAAAGTGTCATACTTAGCTCGTCTGATGTTGAGGATATTTTTGTGGTGACTGAAACAAAGTATTTCTCAAACTCCTTTTTTATTCTTTCCTTGACTTTTTTTCATGTTATAGCACATTTCATCAACTCAAAGGCAACCAACCTCGAGTGAGAGTCACAGTATGATAGAAGATGCTTAAGTCAATGTTTGTTTGTCCAACCATAACTGAGTCCAAATAATTCATATGCATCCAATAAATTATACATTTGAGGTTCTCCGAAATATAGAAAAAAATATTATAGTGTCTTTGCTCTTGCAATATCTAAACCCCCTTTTTATAGTACCAACTCTCTTAACCTGCTCTCGTACAACATCTACCAAAGTCTCATCATAAGTCCTTACATAAGAGCTAGACCTTGAGCTAAGTCCCTCTCGTTAGGACATTTTGATCATAATTTTTTCTTCAAATTTCTTTTTCTTTTTTTTATCATTCTTGATTGTTTCTTCCACACTCTCAATCTCTTACTCTTGTAGCATGGGATACAAGTTTGTCTCTCTCCTCTCTTGTTTGTTTTATCCCTTGAGAATTTCGTATGTAGAGAGTGTAGGCAATAATAGTCTGAGTAGTAATCAAGGGCAAGGCAATATTTCTTAACCATTCGATATAACCTTCAATTAACGCTCTTTTGTCATCCCTACAAAGTCTTCTATTATATCTCTTCACAACACCCCAGATGATAAAGTACCTCATCAGGTCTATAATCTAATATTTAAATTGCATTGCTTATGAACCGTTGTTGATTGTTCTGACAAAAAAAACTCGTTCTTTGGAGGACTGATAGGATACTATCTCAACAATCCCCACTCTCATTATCTTCAACAGGTAGTCGATCTCAGTTTCGTCAGTAGTAACTCTCAGTGCAGATTCTCTCATCCAATTAAGAAAGAGTTATAAGAACTTGAACTCATCCAAAGTGGAGAGATTCATGTCTGGGAGCCGAATAGTACTTTGTGTCTTGACCACCTTTCCTTCCAATACGATCCCAAACGTTAGTTGTTCAATCGATTCAGGTATTAGCGATCATTATAGTCAGTGTCAGGAAAGACAAATTTCAAGATGAGTGCAGTCGGGGATCTCAAACTGATGCTCAAAGGTATTCAGAAATAAGGACTTTATCACCACTGTGGAGTCACTCTCCCTTACTTTACCTATTATGGCAATGGACTCCGGGAGGTATCTAGTCTCTCTTATCCTTAAAATCATCAATAGTTCAAAAGTTAGAGAGTTTCTCAATTTGCCTCACTCTCTTTCCCCAAGTTACTTTCCTATGTTGCTTCTCAATCCATTCTTTTGTCCTTATAAGAATGATATAGCCCCCCCTGTCTAACACTCCAAATAACTAGCTTCCTTCTTTAGACATGCTGGGGCGTAAATTCTCACATCCAAGTTGTTGGTATTCCGGAATTTGACCACTGGAATTTGAAATAGTATGCGGTCCTTTACATAAGTCTTATATCTTAAAATTATGAAGGGATTATCGGATCCAATCACTTCATAGAGTTTGCCCTTCACAACAAATTTTATTGCTACTGAGAGTGTTCTTCTTGAGACCTCGTCACCTTTTATATAAAATCTATCATGGCTAACCAGTTGTTTCCTGATAGGATAATACCACGTAAAGGAGAAGTTGGAAATCCCTCAAAGACAGCAAGCTAAGTGAATCCATTGAGACTGCGAAAATTCCCAGAGCTTTCCAAGACGAAGTTGCGAATATTTGTGTACAAAAAAAGACACGTCGGATCCCGCTTATTCCGAAATTCTTGACCGTCGACCAAAATTCCTAACGCGCTCGGTGAGGCATGCGTAATTCCCAGGTAATTCCCAATTTGCAAAAAAAAAACAATTTCCAAATATTGATTCGAGGGCCTTGCATATGAAAATACAAAAAAGAGACCTCGTCGGATGATCATCCAAAATTTGACAAAAATACAGAGAAACAGGGGGGGGGGAAGGTAGCGCAGGTTCGGAAGTTGACGCGTCACAGGGCAAGGCCATTATCTTCATTTTTACGTTGGCTTATTGAGGCAGGGGGTGAACTCGGTGCTTCCCCATTGGCTGCACATGTTCACCTTCTTTTGTCGAACGTTGTGTGTGAGTCCTCTCTGGGGCGGTACACATCAAGCTAGAGAGGGGGGCCGCCAGTCCCATTTCAGATATGGCACTAATGAGCCAAAAACAAAAAGGGAGAGGGCAAAAACCCTGCATCACCAGATGACCACTGACTGTTCCAGAACAGAAAGACCTCGCAGCGTTCCACTACGTCGCCAACTGCCACGAAACTGTGTCTGTCAGAAAATGCGAAAAAGTGTGCACGGCGGTCCCTCACTAGGGCGTCTCGTTTCTCCGACCTGTCACACACTTTTGTGGAGTGTGGTAAGAGTGACCTCTCTGCGACTCGCGTCTTGTGGCGGCTGCCTCTCACACGGTAGGTTTGACGCACGGCCTGGGTTGTGTCGTAGTGTGGGCGAAATTTCGTCGCGTGGACTCATGCCGCCTAGTCCCGCGTCAAGTTTCCGGTTTGTCCCACTACTGGTTGGACGGGCATTCCGATGTCCGAGCCCGGGGTGTGGGCGACCCCGACGGGCCCGAACCGGTCCCCTAGAGCCGCTGTTGCATCACAGCATCACCGTTCCATTGACCCGCCATCCGCCATCAAAAGCACAGTCGCCCAGGATAGTTATCAGATTGCGGGTGGCAGCGGCGAGGAAATGGAACCATGCTCCGTTTTCTGCCACGAAAGTGCCATTTCGCGAAGCGCCACGGTCCGCCATAAATCGTGGCAGACGACGAGTAGTGGAACGAGGCCTTAATTCAGAACCCATTCCCGGCGACGACGAGGGCAGCTTCCTCTCTGTTTTTTATTTTATTTTTGTCTCCATGTGGAAGAACTGTAAGAGCACTACACAGCTGGAATATTTGTTTTGTTTGTCCCACGGAGAAAATGAGGCTGCACAATGCCGCCTGCCGTCCTAGTTCTGAAGACAGGAACAGGAGCAATGCTAAAGGTAGTGAACCGTGGCGCCGGAGCTTCTTTCGTGATGTGTTATGCCTTGGGCACTGGGCCCTATTAAACCACCAGTACTTGGCCCGGCTATCGGCGGCGCTTTCCCCTTAATGCGCCGTGCCTTTAGGGGTTCGGAGTACCGGACCACAATGGCTGGAAGCGCCAGCCAAAAGAAAATCGAAATGGTACCCCGGCACTTCGGCAAAAATCGCCGCGCAGGGGTATTCCAGGCTCGGCGTCGATAGCTTGGCCACGTACTGGCGGTTTAAAAAGAAAGGGATCGAAAAAAAGAAAAAAAGAAAAGAAAAGGATGGAAAAAAAAAAAGAAAAAAAGAAAGGGATGGAAAAAAAGAAAAAGAAAAAAAGAAAGGGATGGGAAAAAAAAAAAAAAAAAAAAAAAAAAAAAAAAAAAAGAACAGATAAGGCTCTGGATCTCAGCTGCTGGTAGTAACTCTGGATGAATAGTGGACATGATCAAATAGCGCTGATTGCTGGTCTCCTTTCTCTGGTTTTGATTCTTTTTCTTGGGTAGTTCCTCTTTTTTTTGTTGGCCATGGTTTCTTCATGGTTGGTGGAATTTTGGTCACTAAATTAGGGTTGTCATGACTGTTGTGATTAGAGTTTGTGGGTAATGAACTTAGATTTAGCTGACATTTTTTCATTCAAGTGGTAGGGACTGTGGAGTTGGCTGTGGGTTGAAATCTAGTGGTGCCCTCTATATGCTTGGCCGGTGATGCCTTGCCCGCTGAGGGCCTTACCTAATTTTGTAAGGGACACCGGGTCGGGTTCCGTTCTTTTTTTTTTTTTTTAAGGGATAATTTGCAAAATACCCCCATAAGTTGAGATAATTGCCAAAATGCGCCTGAAAAATGTAGGTAGAGCGGAATGCCCTTTTGGGCCGAAATCTTTGTGTTGTGAACCGGGCCCTTGCCGTGCCCGGCGTCCCTTACAAAATTAGGTGGGGGCCGCAGCGGGCAAGGCATCACCGGCCAAGCACATCGAGCGTTGGTAAAAAAAACAAAACAAAAAAAAAAGGTCGAGAAGGGCTTAGAGCGTACAGTCAGCAAAGGGAGCGTGCCTCGTCGTTCCTCGAATGCCCACCGCTGGCTACTTTTTTTTTGGTGGGGACGGCTGGCTATTTCTCCCACCTTCGGCGAGGTCTGAAGCATTGTTCCTTCTCTTTTGCGCATCCGCTTCCCCTCCCCGCGCAATCTTGTTTGCGTTTTGCCTGCGGCTATGGCGGGAGAACACCGGACCTCGCGAAGGCGCACGGCCTGCGCACCGCTTGTGGCGCTTCTGTTGCTAGTGCTTGTGAGCTCGGGCGGCCATGGCGGCGGCGGGGTGAAAGCCTCGGAGCGCGTGGCGGCGGCGGCAGCGACACGCCGTGCGCTCGCCGCAGCGAGGCCCACCACACCAGAGGCTCGGCTGCGAGCAGCAGTGACGAGTCGCAACGCGACGGTCCTCCGACTGACATCTGACATCCTGCTCACGTCTGACCTTCCCTTAATGACCTGCCCCAATCTGACGGTCGTGGGCAACTGCAGGACACGTGACGGACGATGGAGATCATGCAAGATCGACGGCGGAAAGAAGTTCTTTGGATTCCGATCGCTGAGTCAGAGCCTGGACTTCCATATTACCATCCGACTCGACACTGGATTCCATTCAGGATCGACGCCACGCCTCGAGCTCGTGAACTTGCATCTCACTAATTTCCATCAACCCATTGTCGAAATCCTGGGGTTTGTCGTGGTCCGCAACTGCCTCGTCACCAAAAACACTGTGACTGGTTTCTCGTTCTCCGCGTATGAGCTGAGGTTCGAACGCTCGACGTTTACTAGTAACAACGGCAGTTTGATCGGCGGCATGTATGTTAACGTGCATCTGAAGGGTGCAGTCTTTCGATCGAACATAGGAGGGCCGGCGATCACATTCTATCAAGGAGGCGTGTATGGCGAAAGGTGCAGATTCGAGGCCAACAGTGGAGGTGCGGTGGGCGTGACCCACGGGGGCGTGAGGTTCATTCGCTCTTCGTTTGTGAATAACTCGGGTGGTGCCGTTTCAATTGCTTACGATGCGTCGGGTATTTTCTGCCATTGTGAATTCGCGGGAAATTCTGATACGTTGAGCGAAGGGAGATCGATAGTGCGACACGTGTACTTTGGCGGGGTGGTGAGCTGGAGCGCTGGGGTGCAGTTCTGCAAGCAGCGGCCTCGAGTCGGGGTGGTCCTCGAGAAGCCCGATCTCGCTTCCTACATCAAGGACTCGTGCAAGGAGTGTCCGAAATAATGAAACCATCGCCTTTTCTCGCTTTTGCCTGCGAGGGTTGTCCAAAAAAAAAAAAAGGATACTCTCGCGATCTCTCTTCACTCTTATAAATCGTTTTTGGGTTTTATAAGAGAAGGCGACCGCGTTATTCCTCCTCTTGATCCCCCTCTCCTTCAACCCTTTTATTATTATGGTAATTGGTTTATAGTCCGTTTGGTCTTTTTCGTCTTGAGCTGAGCAAAGGGTCCGAAGATTCTCCTGGGAAGGGAAGCGATCACGTGGCTTGTAGGCAATCAATGGGTGTTGACGTGGGATATAGGGAAAGGAGCGGTGGTGACGTGGCATGTGAGGGATCGAGTGGTGACGTGGCATTCTAGGGAACATTAGATGTCGGATAGGTGTGGATGAAGAGGAGCAGGGTGAGCAGAGTGCGAATTCTGAGATTGTCAACTTTGACATTTTTTTTGTTGAGCCAGAAACAACACGTGCATTGGATTTGAAATAAACGAAAAAGTCGGTTTTGGATGAAAAAACGAATTCTCATTATGGCTTCCCTAGCGGCTGTTGCCTTGGAATCAACCACTTCTGTTTCGATTTCTGTTACAGTACGTCTGACGTCGTCTGTGTTTCTTAGCGGATAGAGCTAAGCAGGTAGTAGCTCAAGTGGTTCTGTTCGAGGCAAATGAGCCTGTCAGTAACGTAGCGGAAGCACTCTCCTCCCTCTTCTTATCACCTCGCAGACAGCGCTACAGCGGCCTCAGCTTCTCTGTCTCCCTCTCTGTCTTTCGGACCCGTATCTGACTGCCTATGGTGTCTAACGTCGCTGTCTCTCTCTCTCTCTCTCTCTCTCTCTCTCTCTCTCTCTCTCTCTCTCTCTCTCTCTCTCTCTCTCTCTCT